TGCCGATCATTTTGTGTATTTTCTCTTTTTACAGGACTATGAGTTGCAGACTATGACCTACAGAGCTATGGTTGACTCCCAACAAAAATCTCCAGTGAAACGTCGAAGAATGCAAAGCTCATCAGACTTCATTATTCAAGAGGTAAATGGATTTCTTACCACAGGAAAATGTGGTTTTTTGAGGCTTTGCTTAAAACAGAATAAACACAAAAATGGGATTTAGGATTTATTAATGATGAAATAGGGTAACCCAAGGAAGATTTTTTTTTTTCTCTATAGATTTATGATGTGATAAATATCCTATTGGTCATTATGCTGTATTTAGATAATGAGACAGTATATGGCTGTTGATGAACGAAAGTCCCACAAATCATAAAAAACTATATGAGAAATGTACCTCAGTAAAACTGTTTAGAACTACGTCTGGGCCAGATCTTGAGCACAGTAAACAGGGGGAGCTTTCGTCTTTGCTATGGTAAAACTTACCAGATATGGACATTTTGACAGATTTCAAGGCAAATCCTCCTCATTTGGGTGGGAAGGAGAATTCTGTTTCCCTGCTAACTGTTAGAGAGAGGAGTAGTGACCAGCACTGCTTGTCCCTCTTACAACCTGTTCTTACGGGGGGAAGAATCAAGTGACTGTGAAGTCAAAACATTGTCTTCTGTTTCTTCTCCTTATGGTTCTCCATAGGTCCTTAGGATTTATTTGTGCAAGTGCACCCTGCTGAGGGCATTCAACTTTGGAATAAAAATTAGGACTGTGGATTCCACAATCAGGGTTTTGGAATTAAAATTGGGATAGATTCTAGAGTAGTTTTCATCACTTCTTTGAAGGTTAATGGGAGTGTTTCCCTCTCTCTCCTCCCCCCCACCTTTGTTTCTCTGCAGTTCATGGATTTACGGACTCGTTATACTGCCTTAGTGACCCTGATGACCCAATACATTAAGTTTGCAGGTGACTCTTTGAAAAGACTGGAAGAGGAAGAGGTAGGTCTTCCCTTGGCAGCCAGCCAAGTAAAAAGAACAGCTAGGCAAATAAAGAGCAATATACCTGTTGGAATTATTCACAAAGTTAGCAGCAGATATGAAAGACTAAAAGTCCTTATATACTGCGCTGTATACAGGAATGTAGGAGTGTAAATCATTATCATTCAGATAACCAAAATCCTATACCATCCATACATTTTACCAGTTCTTCCAGCTAGAAGGATTGTATGATTCACTAAATTCTTATGGAGATGTAGTTACATACAGTACATTTTGATACTTTAATATTTTAGGGCTTGATCTTTTGGATAAATGCAGACATCAAGATGAGGGCAAACTCAGTGTGCATTCACCGTTGATATTCTGCGTAGGCCTTAATATTCCATAGTATGCATTTTGGTCCACTTAGCAGCATATAAGAGAGTTCTTTAAACAGGTAGATGCAATGCCCTCATAATTAATTTAAGTTTCTTTGACGTGTTTAGATTTTTTTTTTCCTTCTACCTTTCTACTGTATTGATTCCTTGGGGTCAAACAGCATTTTATTTATGCTTATCGTTGAATCTGATTAACGAGAGGAGGTTACTGAAATAGAGCAGACAAATTACTCAAAATACATGCTTGCTGCAGAATCAACCTTCCAAATAATTGAGAAAAAAATCCTTTTAAATTCTTCACTTTCTTTGGAAATGTTTCTCTCTGAAAGAGGTTGTATAGTCATTCTTTAAAGACTACAGTGTTTTAGTATAATCTATACAGTGCATATCTCTAAAATAATCCCCATATTAAATGTATTTCTGTAATTAATTGTGCCCATATTAAATGTAGTCCTATATAAAGTACATAAATTGGAGAACACTCTCATAAGGGTATAAATTTTAATGTTACTATTACAGAAAAAAAATCAGAGCTCTTAATTAAATGTTATGTAATTCTGGTGCTGGCTTTGTCTTTATTGGCTCTTCTTGCTATGGAATACCTCTGGACAAGCTGTAACGCTAACAGCATGTATCTCTGTGCATTATGAAGTGGTGGAGCATACAGGTGGAAATAGATGATATTTGTTGATAAGTAGCCATTATAACTGAGGATTTAGTATGACTAATAATGCTAATGGTATCAAGGATAACAAGTGAAACAAAGAACAAGAACTGAAACAAGGATCAAGAAACCTGTGAATGCCAATAGGCTTCACATTCTTCAAGAGCACATGGAATCTTTTAAACTCTTTTGAGTTTCAGTCTGATCTGAATCTCCAGGACTGCTTTTTTGGAAATCAGACACCCCCCATCTTCTATCCTCCTCCACCTTCCGGCAGCCTTCTAAATCTTTTGATAGCTTCTTTGAAGATAACCTAAGTAGGTTTCCAGTCTCAAAGTGATTTGATGTTTTTTTTCTTTGTAATCGGGGTAGCAAATCAGAAAATGAATAATCCTTTGCAAAGGAGGAATGATTATTTTTTTTCTTCTGGGATCAGACCTCTGAAGTCTGTGATTGTTCCAAGATTTTCTTCCATGCCAGTCTTTCTTCCTAACTCTCAGTAAATGGCATTAAGAATGCACAGAATAAGGAAAAAGTAAGGTCCTTTCCATGATAACTCAGTTTAATCCATGTGCTGTCATGCTCAGAGCTTACCTGAGGAGAGTGAACTCCAGCAACCTGTGAAGTCAGCTGAAGTCTTTCAACGTTTGGGATGTAATGAAGCTGTTGAATTCAGAGAGAAAGACACACCTAATGAAAGCAGGATGGATGTGGAATATCTGCAAAAAGATAAATCTTCCAGTAAACCTAAACACACAGAAAATAAATTGGAAATTGATATAAGAAAATCAGATGTAGACAGATACGATGAAATCAAAACTGATAGAACATTAAAGCAATTTTTAAATTTCAGTGGACAAGAAGGTAGCATTAGTGACAACAGAGAAAATAAGCTACATACAGAGCAAGAGAATTTAGTGGGTTTTGGTAATCAAGGTAAAGAAGAAAAAAATGGTAGAAAAGATTGTTTTGTTTCAGCTGAGATCTGTGTGAGTGTGAATAATGATCCTGGTGAAATGTTAAATGAGCAAATTGCTAATGGAGAGAGACAGAAAACAGAGGGCGTATCAAAGAAGTTGCCTGAAGTGGAAATGATGCACAAAACCACAGGAAAAAATTGTTCAAGAAAGGCAGGGAGTGATGTTCCAACAAAGGACAAATGTGCGATGCAATCAGAAACTAATTTTGAGCTAACAACGAAGAAAGATGAAGCTACTCCAAAAACTGGAAAGCATGCCCTGGATATCAGCCCTTACAAGCAGCAACATTTTTCACCAAGAACTCATTTTGAATGTCAGCGTAAAGAGCATTGCTTTGCAGAAAGTAATAGCCATACTACTTTAAACTCGGAAGACAGAGAGTTTCAAGTGTGTGGTGAAAAAGGTGACTGTCTTTCAGGTGTAAGGGATGCAACACCTTTAGAGAAAGTTGCATCCTCTTTCAGAGAGCTGGCAGCACACAAGGGAAGTGAAAAAACAAAGTTAAATTTGCAGTCTGTGAGCAATTCATGCGTTTCTTGTAGTGTTGAAAGGGATACAAACAAACTGCACAGAGCACCTCTGGATAAAAGTTACTTCATAGCAGAAAACGAAATCCCAGAAAAAACAAATGTAAATCTAAATGAAGCCAAGAGTACAATGCAAGAAATTTTGGCTGTTCCTTCAGGAAATATTTTAGAGAATTGGTATGCAGCAAAAGTCTCTGAATCTTATCCATTAGATTTTGAAGTGTCACCAGTGCAGAGTGATCCAAGTTTAGGTATGGAATTGTTAGGAAATACTGGTGATTTAAATGCAAATATAGCCCTCTCAGAAATTATTTCTGGAGGAGAGGATTATTTTCCATTATCAGAACATGAATTAGCAAAAAAGCTTTTGAGTCATGGTGAGAAAGTAAGCGAGAAGAAAATATCACAGGGGAAAATTTGTGGTTGGGACAACATAAATATAAGTGGGAAGAAGCGGAGTGGAGAAGACAAATTAGAACAGGGTCAGAAAAGTAAGGATTTATTGCTAGTTGCAGAAATGGACAGTAGAGATAAGGGTCGTAGCACTAAGGTACCTGGAAAAACCACTGAACTCCAGAAAACATTCTGTGAAAAAACAGGGAAAAAAGCGTCAATTGAAAAAAATGAAAAGCAAAAAGAAAGAAACAGTGATAATGAAGAGAAAAGCAGCACAACTATTATTAAGGTACCAGAGTTTTTATGCAATGCAAATGAAACAGTTAATTTAAAATTGATTCGAAACCACTCTAAATCAACATTTGAATCTCAAAATGTGTCAAGGTCAAGTGATTTAAAGTTGATTGAACATAATTTAAACAATGTATATGCTAATGATATTAATTACTTTGCATTTTGAGATGCTTACATTTTTTAAGTTCTTATAAATTTATTTTTATTTTGTATTACTAATTACCATCCTTTTCTCCACCCAGCTGATGCTCAGCCATGTTGATTAGAAATAATGAAAGATAACAAGATATAGTTTGTGACTGTATCTGTATTTTTAGTTGTTCTTTTTCAAGCATAATACATTAGATTTTGTGCCTATGGGAGATCTGATAAGAAACCAATTTAAATGTTTTGTATCCATTGGGGTCTGTTCAAAATTGTGACACTGGGGAGATATAGAGAGGAACTGAAGAAGCTGCCTTTGCATTAGCCTTTTAGGAAATAAGTTTCATATATCATGAAAAATCAAGTAAATCTTGTAAATTTGAACTAAACCAACATTTTGTTTATTTGAAAATGTTGCTATAATTACTCTTCATGCCATGTTTGTATGATCATAGGAATATAGGTGTGTTCTTACCTCATGTTAGCTCACATTTGGTAACTAACGCCATAATAGTGCTAACGAAGACAAGGTATGTATGGTTTCAACCATATTATTAATGGTGAACACACATCTTGCTTATGAGAGTTTACCTTGATCTGCCAACACAGGGAGACTACTAGCAGACTGGTTTTCACTAGCATTTTCCTAATTACCATGTGTATACTTCTAACTGCGTCTACACTGCAGAGCAGCTGTGCTCTTACCAGTCCCTCAGCTGATCCAGTGGACGCACTGGGACTGTGGAGCCCACTACGGAGCATAGATGTACTGGAGTTTAGATAGTTCTCTTTCTGGAGCTGACGCATCTTGGCTCTAGCTCTAGATACTGTTTCTTTTCTTGGAGGGGATTTCCAAACTTCTCTTGTGTTATTTGTGCTTGCAAGCGTAAAATCTTCCTTCCAATTCCTACTGAACTGATCCAGAAAAGGTAGGGCACTTCCTCCTGGGGAATTCTTGCACATAGTGTTTGGCTCACTGTTTGCTCTACCTATTTGTTTGGAGAAAAAGCATATGCAAGCTGTTGTTTGACGCTGCTTACCGCTAAGAGGCATCTGACTGAAGTGAGAGGCTTCAGGACTTCTTCGCTTTGTGGATGTCTTTATGAAGGGTTTCATATTTGGCTAATGGTAACTTCCTGAAGCTTACTGTATCAAGAGAAGGTGATGGTGGTGGGAACTGCTCGTCCTACTTTCTGGACGTACCGTATATATATGAGTAAGTATTTTCCACTCTGTTTTTCAAAGAGTCTAACATGTTTCATATGCTGTATTACAAAAAATACATTGCAACTTATCTCGTTCCTTTACAGAATTTAAAGAATAAGGAAGCATCAGTGCGTGAAGCATATTCAGATCTAATGGCACAGCAAAACAGCACAATTGATGAGAACAGAAAACTCATGGGAAAGGTAAAAACACTTGAGGAAATGTTGGAGGATATGAAGAAACAAAAATTCCAAGTGGAACAGGAGCTCCCTAAAGTGAGGGAAGCTGCAGAAAAGGAGCGGAAGAAGCAGCAAAAGGAGATGGAAGAGATCTGTCTTCAGAAGACCAAGGCTGAGCAAGAGGCAAAGCAGTGTCGTATAGATCTAGAGAGCATCGAGAAAGAGAAGGCAGATGCAGAGCAGGAGCTGGAGTGTGTAAGGCAGCTCATTTTTCAGGCAGAGACTCAAAGAAGTATACTGGAAGACAACCTCCGTGCTTTTCGAAATCAAATAGAAGAAAGCACCTTTACCAGAAGAAACCTTGAAGAGCATCTAAGAAGAAAAGAAACTAATCTTCATGATTTAGAGCAACAAAAAAAAACCTTAATGCAGGAGCTGAAGAAAAAAACAGAAGGAGAGGAGAAGCTTATGAAACTGATAAAGCAAATGGAACAAGATCTTGAATTTAAAGGGAATCTATCAGAAATAAAGCTGCAAGAGAAGGAAAAAAGGGAATCCAGAAGGAAGGTTGTTGAAGGCAGGTACTCTATAACTAGAGAAACTTCCATGCCAACTTTCATGGCTGGGAAAGGCAGCCATTGTAGCACTGATCCTGAAATTACAAGTTTCCAGAAGAAACAGGAAGCCAAAAAAGTAGAAGAGCTTAAACAAAAGATAGATGAGCTAACCCTTGCTAACAAAAAAGCTGATAAAACTATTAAAGACCTGAAATATGAACTGAATGAAATTGAGCTTCAGAAATCATCAACAGAAGAAAAGTCTCGTTTATTAAAAGAAAAACTAGATAAAGTCAATAGTGAACTTAAATGCCTAAAAATTAAGTTGGAGGAAAAAGACCAAGTAGAGCAGGGATATTTGCAGCAGTTGAAAGAACTAGAGAAACAGCTGCATAGAACCACAGGTAAAGCTGAAGATGTGATGCAAGAAGCTATGGATCTTAAGAAAATTAAGATGAACTATCAGGAGGAGCTGAAATCTGTTCAGCAAGAAAAGACACAGCTAAAAAGACAGCTAGAGGAATTATCGAGATCACAGACAAAAACTGAAATCACTATCAAACATTTGAATTCACAAATCAGTTCTCTTCAAAAAGAGAAGCTGGCAGCTGAACACAGAACACAGTCATGCAAAGGAGAAGCAAATAATCTTCAAGACCAATATAAGAAAATTCAGGAACAGTTGCTTCAAAAAACAAAAGTAGAGAAAGAAAACCAGCAGGAAATTCAGATGCTGAAGACTGAATTAGCCAAAAGTAATCAGGTGTCAGAAACATTGAAACGAAAGATAGAGGACCTTAATAAATGGAATACTGAAACAAAACTACTGATGAATCAAATTCAGTCTGAATCAGAGAAGGTGACTTTGGAAAAACAAAGTATTCAGAGGAAAAATGATACATTAAAAGCCCTAGCAGATGGTTTCAAAGAGCAACTGCGTACAACAAATGAACAATTGCACAAGCAAACAATAATTGAGCAAGAATTCATATGTAAAATTAAAAGCCTAGAAGTTGATCTAGCAAAAACAAAAGACTTAGCTAGTGAATATAAACAAAAATGTGATAAGCAAAGTGCTTCCACCCTAACCATTGACCGGGAGGTCAAAAATCTAAATGCCCAAATGAATGCTCTAACTATGGAAAAGAGAGCGAATGAGCAGAAGATACAACTACAACAAGCTCATATACAAGAGCTAAGTAGTAAATTAAAAAAATTACAGGATGAACTCTATCAGAAGACTCTGGATGAACAAATGGCACGCAAGAAGATGATTCTGTTTCAGGAAGAATCCATTAAGTTTAAACACTCTGCAGAGGAATTCAGAAAAAAAGTTGAAAAATTACTGGAATCCCATAGCATCACAGAAAAGGACATTTCTGGCATAAAACTAGAATGTGTTGGGTGAAAGGTTATTAGTCTGGGCTCAACTGCAAGAAATTAACATTAAAAACACAGTGAAACAAGCTCAGTCGGGAAACATTGTCCCTTCCAGGCTTGCCTTTGCCCTGAGCCACTCTCAGAGCCTCAGCAGGAAAAGCATATGGCTGAGGAAAACATCATGTTGTACAAGATACAAATGGAAGATTTGCAAGAAAGGCTTAAAAAATGTCACGAACAACTACAGCAAGGGAAGCAGGCTGAAATGGACTATCACCAGAAGTGCAGGAAACTTGAGGAAGAATTGGAAGTGCAGAAGCGCACGGTTGAGAGCTTGAAACAGAAAATGGACCTGCAGGTCAAGGAGAATGAACACAGGTTTATTTTGTTTCAGAGTGAAGTTCAGCAAAATAATAAACTCCAAGATTCTGGATTTAAATTGAGCTGTGAGAGAAGAGGGAATGATTTCAATTACCTGAGTGACACCACAGCCAGAGAATTTGAACAGCTTCTTCCACATGCAAAACCTAGCTCACCTTTGTTAAGGCAGAAACAGGAGAGATCAGGTTTTAAATCTGATCAAATAGAAGAAAATACATGGTACGTGAGTGCTGATGATACAGTACCGAGAGAGGTGCAGTTCCAGATGTCAAGAATAAACCAATCGCTAGAAGAAGATGCAAGCCCACAATCTTTTACAGAGTTTGTTTCTCAAACGAGTACACAGTTCCAGATAACTTTTGATAAAGCAAGCCAAATCTCTGGAACATCTGAGAGGGACAAATTGAGAAACAGGAACCTACCCAGTTCCAGACAAAGTATTAGACATGGAGAAGACATGAAACATGAATTAGGAGTGGTAAAACTGCATCCCTTGGAGGTACACACTACGTTTTGTGAGGGTTTGCCTTCCTAGTGCTGGGTTTTACTACTCTATTTTTTTGTTTGTTTGTTTTTAGTTATGCTTTATCACTATTCTGTATTCTCTCTAATGTTTCTTATGTTCTTATCTTGGTGAAGGGAACCCCTTCATTCTTACATGACACAAAAAACTTTTCATTAGACCTTTGTAGCTTGTTGATACCTAAGGGACACATTATTTTAGAAGTTTGTACTGGAAACAGGAATTCACATACACCATTGTATCATTATTGGTCAAAATAAGCTTTGATTAACAGCACTAAGTTCATATAGTAACAAACAACAGTTATTGTTGCTTAGTCTAGTCATATTCCTGTTATTGAATAAATATTTGAAATGGCAAATGCACATTAAAACTCCAGCTATCAATATTTCTTTGCTCTCCAATGCTAGTAGCAGTTCTCCTCTCTGACTTACATTCAAGTTCTCCCTTTTGTTTCTCTGGTGGTGGATTTAGGAGTGAATTATGTACACCATAGTTCTGCAGACGTATTTCTCACTGTGTCAAAAAATTCCTATTTACAGATAGTGAAGAACAAGCAGTATGACATGCATGTTGAAGTCACAACATTAAACCAAGAAAATGACAAGACTTTTGGTAATGAAGAGAGAATGTTTGAGGGATACAAAACATCCGAAGGGTTTAGGAGAGAAGACTTTGCAAAGATGAGCTCTTTCTTAGGGGAAGAGATGTTGAAAACTGTTGATGATGCTACTCAGTTGGAATGTTTTACAGAGGAATATGATGATATTAAATTCCAAGGTCTCCGACATGATGTAACTGCCAGACAGTTGATTGAAGTCAAACTTTTAGACAGGCTCACAGTTGAGCAGCTCCATTCAGGGCAGAAAACTATTGATGAGGTTCAGAAAAGTCTTGAAAAATTTTTAACTAAACCTACAGCTATAGCTGGGCTGTACCTTGAATCCAGCAAAGAGATACTCTCTTTTGCTTTAGCAGCAAAGAGAAGAATCATAGGAAAAGCATTGGCATTAGCATTTTTAGAGGCCCAAGCAGCTACTGGTTTCATCATTGATCCCACAACAGGTCAGAAATTCCCTGTTGATGATTCAGTTGTTAGAGGGCTTGCAGATAATGAATTCAAGAGTAGACTGCTTGAGGCAGAGAAAGCTGTTTTGGGCTATCGCTGTTCTGGGAAAGTGATCTCTGTGTATCAGGCTATGGAAGCTCGACTCTTAGAAAGACAAAAAGGTAAAAATATCCTTGAGGCTCAGATTGCAAGTGGGGGGGTGATTGATCCTGTAAGAAGTGTTCGTGTACCTCCAGAAACCGCCGTGCAGCTTGGCTTGCTTAATAACACAATCTTAAAATTTTTGCATGAACCTTCTAGTAATGCAAAATGTTTTCACAATCCGAATAACAGGAAAGCTATGTACTACTGTGATTTGCTGAAAATGTGTTTGTTCAGCGTAAGTAGTAAATGCTTTCTGCTTCCAGTTGGTGAAAGGAAAATAAGCAGCCCATCAGCAGAGAAAAGTCATAAAATCTCTGTAGTAGACATCAAAACAGGAGCTGAAATGACTTCATATGAGGCTTATAAAAAAAATTGTGTTGATAAAGCTACGTATCTTGAGCTTTCCAAACAGGAATTTGATTGGAAGGAGTCTACATGTTTTGACTCTGATGGGAATTCTTTTCTTTTGCTTACAGATCTTAAAACTGGTATACAGTTTAATATTGAGGAGACCTTAAATCAGGGTAGAATTGGCAGAGCGTTAGTCAATAAATATAAGGAGGGTTTAATCACAGCTAATGAGTTTGGTGATATTTTAATTAGCAGTTCACAGCCAAATAAAGATTTAAACAGTCCTATTGCAGGGTTCTGGCTTTCTGAAACCAATGAAAGAATTCCAGTTTTAAAAGCCTCACGCAAAAACTTGGTAGATAGAGTTACTGCCCTCCGATGTCTTGAAGCTCAGGTTAGTACAGGAGGCATAATTGATCCATTTACTGGGAAAAAGTACAGTGTTTCAGAAGCTTTGCAAAGGGAGTTAATCGATGATGGTTGTGCCAAGCAAATCCAGCAGTGTGAACTGGTCTTCACTGGGATCATTCACCCTGTAAGGAACACAGTTATGTCAGCTGTTGAAGCTATGCACGTAAATGCCATAGACAAAGAAATGGGTATGCGCTGCCTGGAGTATCAGTACTTGACTGGCGGGTTGATAGATCCAAAGTCTCATTCCAGATTAACAATGGAAGATGCAATTAAGAATGGTATTATTGATGCTGTCACAGCTACAAAGATGAAAGATGAAAAATTGTATGGTAAAGTTTTAACATGCCCCAAAACGAAGAAGAAGTTAACCTACAAAGAAGCTTTAGAGACAGCTGTTTTTGATTGCCACACTGGGCTGCGATTGTTAGAAGCAGCTCAGCCCATGAAAACGGGAATTTCCAGTCTTTACTATAATTCGTAATGGAACAAAGATATTAGCACTCATTTGGGGGCCTGCTTTAAAACCCATTCAAGTCAAGGAAAAGATCTATGAAGGCGTTTATGGAAAATCATAAATAGTGTTTTCTAACATAATCATGAGTTGCTGCAAAACTAATTAGTACAAACCACTAATTAGTATAAACCACTGAAACAGGAATTAGATGTTACTTGTTACAAAGTTGAAATTTATAGATAAGCTTAGGCAGATTCATAATTTCAAAATGCAGACTATGGGTTCAGTCTACCTGAAGGCCTTGTCTGACGTTATCTACATGTAGGTAGTGTAAATCAGAAGTTATACTGAGGTTGGTGAAGGTAACATTAGTGCAAAATGGGTAGATTTAGGTGAGACAAGAATCAGATTCTTATATTAAAAATTGAAAGGCATTGCCCATTTTGCAAATGAGGACAGTGCAGTATTTCATGTGACCTGATACTTAATTTAATATTACAAATGAGTTTGCAGATATAATTTATTTTACAAGAGTGGCAATAAAGTATACAGGGGTTGAATATGCAGTCCAGTAAACATGTATGCATAAGTAATTTTTCTCATACTGGTATTTCATTAATTTTAATGAGCTACTCATATCCTAATTTTTTTTTTTCACTTCAGGTAACTTTTTTTTTTTTAGAATTGTTTTCATACTCTTAATAGGCAAATGAATTACAATTACATATCAAATTAACAAAATTCCATTGAAATAAAATGTGTTCATTTTTACTTGTGATACATGGAAGGGCTTAAGCTTGTTTTCTAAGTATTGATAAATTTCAAACTACTAACAGGCTGTACTACCATAAAAAGAAATCTGTTTTCCTGTGCAGAAAAAGATGAAATGTCTCAGTATTTTACTTCTATTGTTCTTGTTTCTGTAGACATAAAAGCAACGTATTCTTCCTAATTGTAATTTAGTAATCCATGTGCATAGATTGCAAAATGCTGATATCCTATGCTGACTGTACATATCCACACCTGAGGGTAATGCAAAGGCAGCAATTCGAAGATACTTTACATGCAAATGTTGTTTAGATTTTATCTGCTGAGTAATGGCTGGGAAGCTATGCTTTTTCTTAATATCAATCATGTTATAATGAATGTACATGTGTATGAATAAGCACCATAATCACAATTGCAAATCATTTGAGGAATTATTTTGTTAATGTCCATAATTATGTGGCATTTTTGTTCCTACATCAAAGTGTCATAGTAATGCATGTGGTGATAAATAAAAAGAAGTCATTTTATGTTTATGTGATAATACTGCCATTGTGGTAGAATTGTGTTTCTAGGGACATTAATGTTAAATATTCCAACAATTTACGTTTACGTGTTTTTTACAATTTGCGGTGCTCATCAGAAGTCAATGGAAGAAGAAAAGAAGGAACATCTTGAGAAAGCTGGGGATTTACTGAAATGGGTGTCAAACCTCAGCAAGACACTCAGTAAAGAAGAAGGAGAAAAGGCTGAAAAGACAGATTTGCCTAAGCAGCAGGTACACAGATGTCTTTTGGTAAAATACCACTTTTAGCTTTCTGCGTTGACGAAAATGAGAAAATATTCCACAAATCCTTTTTTTTTCTCCAAATCACCATCCACATTTTACTAAAGGTGTAATTTCACATTTGATTGTGAGTGGAGGGT